TTAGCAGGGTCACCGGGTTGGAAAGTTCAAGGAAGGGAAGGAGCCCCTGGGCGGCTCTGTACCAGCGAGCCGCCACCTAGGTAGGTAGAAACCTCTCTACTAGCATATCTCTACGTATGCGAGGTTAGTGGGAGATACGGAAAGGCCAAGAGCGTCGACAATCGAGCCAGTCTAGACAAGGACCCGGCGTCTCTCACAATGGCACACCATGGCACCTTGCTCACGCGACCCCGGGCTGGCTGCTCGGTATGTCCATCTGCACCACAAAAAGCTCAATGGTGCTCAATATATAGGTGGTGTCACTGACCAACAGGCTTCGTGTCGACAGAGGCTAGGAGACGATCCATATTGTCGATCTGACGTTGCGTCGTGACTTCTTTTGTCAGCCCAGCACTGGCCTCCTCGCCCAAGGGATCGTGAATTAGCCTTAGGTTTGGTGAAAGCTTCAATGAATTGCAACCTCCACGATCGTCGCCCACTATGAGGATGGGATCCCGCTGATTAAAGACCACATGTGTGAGTTTGGCGCGTTTGACAACTTTTTGCTCGCATAGAGGCTCATGCTTATTTTCAGCAAGATCAAAGATATGTACTTTCCCATCAGATGTCACTGCTGCAAAGACAGTCGCAGAATACGGAGACCATGCAACATCTCCAACCGCATTCCCCAAATCGAACGACATGATCGCGGTCGGGACATTATGATCCCATAGCTTGACTGTCCAATCAGCCGAGCATGATATAAATACCCGAGGATGAAACGGGTTCCATCGAATTGTGTAGACAGCCATGTGGTGACCAAGGTAGGTCTCTAGATATTGACCTGAATAGGCTTTTGAACACTTATGAATTTTTCCCTCCTCTGTGCCGACAATGAAGAGGTGCTCGGAGACGCGATTGAAGTCAAAGCAACAACCGCCTGCTAGACCGGATAACAGTGTCTCCTCCGGATCGTCCTTCGATGTGCTGACCAATTTTAACTGCATCACTGGTTCCATTTTCAATTCGTTTTTTGACATGGTCCAGTTGGCAACTCGACCGTCTGAAGAGATGGAGAAGAAATTCAACTCCTTCGCAAGATCCTCTATCTGCCATTGCACCTGCCACACTGGATCAGTGTGCTTCCCCGTTTTTATTGAAGACGCGTAGATCGGCCGGTTGCCTTTGTGTCTCACATCGTATACCATAACAATACCGTCATAGCAACCGACTGCGAGTAGCGAACAGTGCTCTGGGTGGAAGTTCAGACACATGACCCCACTTTCTGTTGTAAAAGTATACTCGGGATAGCTCGTATTCTTCAGGGAAAAGCAACACACCATACCACTTCCCTGGCGCATGAAGTCGTAGGAACCATATCCGACGGAAAAGAGATCAGGGTACTTCGGATTCCACGCCAACGCAGTTACTTGCTTGCGCTTCGATCGCTCCGTGTGGAAGCGCCAGAGAGGTAGCAGAGACCCCTCGCCATCGCGGAAGGCATCCGACGCGTCCTCCCAGTATTTAAAGTCCTGAAATATCTCATCATCTGCGTTTTGATTCACCATGCGCTCAAGGATCTTCAGTGCATTTCCCATGCGCTGAGAGTGCACCATGTCATCTTCTTTTGACACCGTCGTATTCTGCAATCCACCGTTTGAGGTAGACCCGATCCCTGTCTTTTTCTTCTCCTGACTTTTTAGGAGTTCCTGCTCAGCCATTTGCATTGCATAGTCGCTCATGTACCTGTCATATATTTCCCACTGTGAAACTGTCCCAGAAAAGTTGACCACGGCGGGTGGTTTCGTAGAAATGCAACGCTCCCTTAAAGGATTGTTAAAGGTTTGGGCCGCTCTTTCTGAATAATTGAACTGGTTTTTCCTATTTTCAAATAAATCATCCTCATCTTCATCTTTTCCGTGTTCCTCGACTATCAGCTTCTTTGCTTCTGCCAGGTCTTCTTTGTATTTGAGGTAGTAAGTTGCCTGCTCTTTTGCCTCGTTGCTGTCTCGGTGCAAAGAGCAGCCCTCGAGAGAGAAATGGATAGCTAAATTATCTTGCCCCCCAGGGGGATCAACTTTGTAACAGCGACTGTGGTAGTTATATTTCGTAATATTATTGGGCACGTTGGGGTCATTCGCCGTTAGCACTCGGGTGTGTTCTTCTTTGAGTTCCGCCTCGGTCAGCTTCAGTTGATTCGCAGGCACTTTAATGAGTCGGTAGGGCTCTTGGTACATGTCATCGTCCTCTTGAGTTAGAACTGGCCCGACTAAAGGTGCCACAACTTTATCGGTGTCTTTGGGCTGGGTTCGTTTTTGTCCTGAAGCCTTCTTTGCGCGTTTCATGCTGTCAGCACACGAAACTGAGCGCTGCTCCGTTAAGCGCAGGCGTATCCCGAGGATATGTCACCCAGAATATTTATGAGGAAATATATCCCGTCTGATAGGACGATGGCTACTAGAAAGCCTGATGCTCACTTGTATCTTTTGTACGAGGATACGCGGATGCGGTATCCTCTCCTTTCTTTCTCTTGCACACTTTTAGTGACCGAGGAGCCTGGGAGTTGCGATTGCAGCTCACTGCTTAGTGTTACTAGATCCCCGCCGGTTGGTAGGGCAGCGTAAATATCTACCTTTCTAGTCTATAGTGAAGGCTTTATTCCCTTTACACTAGCCCATGCACCCTTTCCGGGAGTTGGCGCGGCGCTCGGTCTGTAGGTCCGAGTTGTCCGCAGCAAACTTGCATCCGCCTCTGGCGTGCCCTGCGAGCGACCGCCTTCGAATTTGCTGGTGACAACTCGCCTCATGCATTGCGTGGTGAGCACCGTGTCGCCCGAGCCCCATCTCTCTCTTCCATTTTCCGTCTAGGTCAGGAACACTGCCATTTGCCCTAAAGATCGGCCTAGTGCCCCATACCACACCTAAGCCAGCGGACATGTGACCCAGTGCAGCTCCACCGAAGAGGCCGTCGCCGACGCCACATCGCCACCAACGTCACCAAGAAAGCGCATCCGATCTTGTGTCTTGTGTCTGAGTCCAGAACAGGGTATCCACTTCAGCTTACGACCCGTGTGGGGGGCTGCGTCGCGCGTGCGAAGCTCCGGGCGCGACCGTCCTCAGAGTGGCGAGTCGTGCGACTCCGCGTGGATCCGGTCCCACGGGACGACGCGGTACGCGTTCTGGAGGCCGTTGTTCGCCAGAGGCTCCGGGAGTAGGAGCTTGGCCGCCAGGTCGTACTTGCCGCCTGGGGGCGAGAAGAGTGGGAAATTCCCGACTTGCAAGGCCCCATCTCGGTCGCTTTCGCTCGCTTTGGCTCTTTTTTTGGACGAGCGGTCATCTCTCCACGCGACCTCGAACTCGGTGTGCCCTCCTTTGGGTCGCGAAACGCTCGAGTCGACGCGAACTCGAATCGCCCCGCTCGAATCGCCCCGTTCCCGCCCCGCTCGCCGCGGCCGTCCGGCGCGAACTCGAAGACGGGCGACCTGGGCCGGGGCGGCTCTTCGACCCGACTTCAAGGGGCGCGTCTTAGAACCGCGTCGGCGAGAGTCGCGCACGCTTCACCGGGCGAACGACGGAGAGGAGACGACTCGTCCGACGTCAGCCGAGGCGACGCCTATCCGACCGAGCGGGCGGGGCTCGCGCGCGCGGTCGGGCGCGCCCGGCGCGCCGGCCATCCGCGGCGCCGCGGGCGACGCGCCCGCCGGGTTCCACGCGCGCTGCATCGCCGCGACGGACGTGAACCTGCGGCGCGCCGGAATCTTCGACGTCGACGTGAATTCCCCTCGAACTCTTCAGCCCCCCCCCGCGGGCGGATCGATCGCCCAGCCGCCGGCCGGGGCGGCGCGCGCGCCGCTGTGCGAGACTTTCGACGCCCCGCGGCCCCGGGGCGGCCGGCGAAGCGCTGCGCCGCCGCGGACGCGACGAGGAGGCGCCCCCCCGCGAGCTCGTAGACGGACCCGCCGACGGGATTGTAGCCATCGTGGAGCATCGCCTGGCGCGGCGCGCGCGTCCGCGCGGCCCCGCGCGCGCGCGCCCCGCGAGGGGCGACCACCGCCCGTCCAAGCGCGGGGACCGAGCGACGTCGGCGCGATGGAGCTCGGGAGCCGCGGTGCGCGGCCGGACGGGCCGGGCGAGCCCGGCCCGCGCTCCGCCTCGAGGCGCGGGGCGTCGCCGCGTCCCAGCGCGCCGCGCCGCCGCCTGCGCGGGGCGCGGCCGGTGGACCGGGGCGCCCCGGCCGACCCGGGGGGCGCGCCGCCCCGGCCGGCGCGACGTCGCCCCGGGCGCCGTCCGGGCGAGCCGCGCGCTCTCGCCGGGTCCACGACGGCGCGCGCGCGTCGGCGCCGGGTATAAGGCGCGGTTCCGGCCCCGGCCGCCCGCTGGCGAGGTCCACGCCCCACTCGAACTGCCACGCCACGGCGGCGGTGCCCGCGCCGGCGTCGAGCGCGTAGCGGACGACGCGCGAGAAGCAGCCCGCCGCGACCTACGGGGGGCGCGCGTCCCGGCGGCGGAGGCGCCGCGCCCGGCCGCGGCCCGCCCGGTTCGGCTCGCGTCGGACGAGCGATCGTCGCTCGACGCGCCCTCCGCGCGGGGGCCCGCGCCCCGGGGCGACCACGCAACCCGCGCGCATCGACGCGACCTCGGAACCACCCGGCGTCCCCCCGGGCCGCGACGGCGGTCGTGCAGCCCGGGCGCGAGTCGCCGTCGTCGACGACGAGCAGGTCGCCCGACGCCGCGACGATCGCGGCCTGCGCGCGCCGCGGCGCGTCGCGCGCTGGGGCGCGCGCGCGCGCGGCGCGGGCGCTCGCGTGCGGCGCGTAGAACTTGTCCGCGTCCCTCGCGAAGGCGAGGAAGGGGTAGGCGAAGCGCGACGCGTTGAGGCCTGTGTCGGCGACACCCGGTGAGCTGGACAGTCCGGCCAATTCGCGAAACCTCCCGAGTTCGGTCGAATCGACGCCGCCTCGGCTCGTTTTTGG